CGTAAGAGCACCAGCGGAATGATCTACTTTCTCTCAGGCGGCGCGATCTGCTGGCAATCAACAAAACAGAAGGTAGTTGCTTTGTCTTCCTGCGAAGCAGAATACATCGCCGCTTCGATGGCAGCAACTCAAGGGATCTGGCTTGCACGACTAATGGAAGAAATCATCGGGAGAGAAAGCGATCCACCAATGCTATACATAGACAACAAAGCTACGATCTCCCTGATCAAAAATCCAGTTTTGCACGACCGGAGCAAGCACATAGAAATCAGATTCCACTACATTCGAGAATGTGCAGATCGAGGGCTCATCAAAATTGATTTCATCCGAACAGAGGAACAACTTGGAGACATTTTCACCAAATCCCTGGCGCGGGTGAAATTTGAAGAACTACGCTCAAAGATCGGAGTTCAAATAATAAGGTACAGCTTTTAGGAGGAGATTGTTAAATAAAAGCTCTGCCTTATTTAGTTAGGTTTGTAAAAACATATGAGTTCACGCGAATGGAGGAGCGTGATTCTAGGGGCCATTGTTTTGGCAGAGTGGCGGAGTCTTCGTCCACTTATTCTATTTGTGTATATTTGGTTTTTCTATTTTTGTAATTAGATTTATTATTTAAACCATTCAACGGATGTAAAATAAATATATTGAGTCTTCAGCATTACCAGCGAATCTCTCTCTCTCTCTCCTTTTACTTCCGCTAATTTTTCCTTCGAAGAAACCTTCGGCCAATTTTTTTTTTCGTCGACATCCGATTTGCCAGAGTCAACAAGTGGTATCAGAGCCTGGTTGAAGCGATCGGTAGTATACCATCACAGAGGAGCCAACCTATCAACAAACAAGTTGAATAGCTCAAGTGGTTAGAGCGTCGATCTAATAACACACAGGTCTTAGGTTCGAGTAGAAGAAAATGCAAAGCACAAAAATAAATACATCGTGGGGCCCATCTCAAGCAGGCTCGCTCACTCCTCCACGCCGCCAAGTGCCGGCATCTCCATCACCACCACGAAGAGGCCGTGGCCGACATCGTGATGACGGGCGTCGAGTAGTTGTTGAGCGAGTGATCAGAGAGACAACGACCGCCGTCGTTCAGTACCCGATGTTGACAAGGTCCAACTACAACGAGTGGGCCTTGTTGATGCGTGTTAACCTACAGGCGCAAGGGTTATGGCACGCTGTCGAGCCAGAGGAAGGAGAAACAATCGAGTACCGGGAGGATCGGCTGGCGTTCGCCGCCATATTACGATCTGTGCCCCCAGAGATGCTGGCTTCTCTTTCCACCAAGCGCACCGCACAATCGGCCTGGGAGGGAATCAAATCCCGTCGGGTCGGTGTACAGCGAGTGCGGGAATCCAACATCGAGCAACTGCGAAAGGAGCTCTCGGAGATTCGCTTTAAGGACGGCGAATCCGTCGATGATTTTTCAATGCGGATCACGGGGCTCGCCAACAGCATCACCACCCTCGGTGGTGGCATCAGCGAGACAGAAATCGTGAAGAAGATGTTGCAGGTCGTTCCCGATCACCTCGAGCAAGTCGCGATTTCAATCGAGACATTGCTTGACGTGAACGACCTAACAGTGGAAGAGGTGACCGGAAGACTACGTAACGTCGAGCAGCGGAAGAAGAATATCACTTCAGCTGTTGACAAGGAGGGCCGTCTACTCCTCACGGAGGAGGAATGGCTTGCACGTCTAAAGCTCCGTGACAACACCGGCCAGAGCAACGGGTCCTCCTCCAGCCGCAAAGACGGTAAGAAGCCATGGATCTCCCACGGGCGCATGCGCGGGAAAGATGGGAATCAAAAGAAGGAGTCGACCAATGGCAGGCCAATCTGCTCGAACTGTGGGAAGAGAGGACACCTAAGCAGGAACTGCTGGAGCAAGCTTAGGAACAAGGAGAAGGCCGAAAAGGCCCATGTGGCTCAATCCGAGGAGGACGAGCCAGCTCTCTTCATGGTAAGTGCATGTGTCCCCACTCTCGATTCCAAATCCACGGAAATGGAGGTAATCAACAACGATGTTGAACTCGAGAAAGAGCTTCAGCTGGGCGTAGCAAAGGTGGCACCAGCTAGGGAGCCAATTCAACTGGAGGAGGAGCGAGTGTTCGCTCAGATCAGCGAGCGGGACGAGCAACACAAGGACCGGCGATGGATCCTAGACACAGGGGCAACAAACCATATGACCGGGGCTAGATCTGCATTCTCCGAACTCGACTCGGGGATCCGTGGGACGGTGAAATTCGGCGACGGCTCCGTCGTCGAGATCGAAGGGCGCGGCACCATCCTGTTCGTCAGTAAGGGAGGCGAGCATCGCAAGCTGACCGACGTCTACTTCATCCCGAGGCTCAAGGCTAACCTTGTGAGCCTGGGTCAGCTCGATGAGACAGGCTGCTTCATTTCCATCGAGCGCGGACTACTGAAAATCTGCGATAATCAACGACGGCTGCTCACGCAGGCAAGACGAACCACAAACCGTCTTTACATCCTGGAGTTAGAGATAGACCAACCCGTTAGCCTCTCGGCCAAGACCGAAGAGGTATCTTGGAGGTGGCACGCAAGGTACGGACACTTAAACTTTCCTGCCCTAGAAAAGTTACAGAAGAAGGAGTTGGTGCACGGCTTGCCAGAAATCAAAGGCGTGAACAAGCTGTGCGACGGGTGCCTCATCGGCAAACAGAAGCGCACACCCTTTCCGTCTCGAACAGCCTACCGAGCCGATGAGCCATTGGAGCTTGTACACGGCGATATTTGCGGGCCCATCAAGCCGGCGACCCCAGGCGGTAAGAGTCTCTTCCTCCTGTTAGTCGATGACAAAAGCCGCTTCATGTGGCTGACTTTGCTGCAAGCGAAAAGTGAGGCGGCAGAGGCGGTTAAGCGCATTAAAGCGCGAGCGGAGGCCGAATGTGAGAAGAAGATGCGAGTGCTGCGCACAGACCGTGGCGGAGAATTCACCTCGGAAAGTTTCAGTAAGTACTGCGATGAGGTCGGCATGCAAGGGCACCTAACGGCGCCCTACTCCCCCCAACAGAACGGAGTGGTAGAGCGCCGAAATCAGACCATTGTCGGGACAGCGAGGTCATTGTTGGTGACGGCCGGGATGCCTGGGAGATTCTGGGGAGAGGCAGTAATGACGGCTGTCTATCTCCTCAATCGGTCACCAACCCGAAGCCTCGACGGGAAGACGCCATATGAAGCCTGGTACAACAAGCTCGACAGTACCCTACTGTCACTGAATTTCAAACGTTGTGCCTCTGAGCATGGCATGTACACGTACGGCCACGGCAAAAAGCGACTGATCGTGGGAGTGTACGTCGACGACCTCATAATCACTGGAGGCGACGTGGGAGTCCTCGGAAGGTTCAAGAAGGAGATGTCGAAAAACTTCGAGATGAGCGATCTCGGTGTGCTCAGCTACTACCTCGGCATCGAAGTGCAACAGAACTCTTCCGGCATCTCCATCTGCCAAAGTGCATACGCGAGAAAGCTGCTGGACACAACTGGGCTTATGGACAGTAATCCTACCAGGACGCCAATGGAGGCCCGACTTCAACTAAGGAAGGCCGGCACTACGACGACAGTCGACTCCACCAATTACCGCAGCATTGTCGGGAGTCTGCGCTATCTGGTAAACTCTCGTCCTGATCTTGCTTATTCTGTTGGATATGTGAGTAGGTTTATGGAAGCACCTAGGGAGGAGCATCTAGTGGCTGTCAAGCGCATCCTGCGCTATGTAGCCGGAACCAGAGACTGGGGCGTAAGATACTGCGCTGGGAGCGAAAAGGAGAAACTCAAACTGGTCGGCTACAGCGATAGTGACATGGCCGGTGACGTTGATGATCGTAAGAGCACCAGCGGAATGATCTACTTTCTCTCAGGCGGCGCGATCTGCTGGCAATCAACAAAACAGAAGGTAGTTGCTTTGTCTTCCTGCGAAGCAGAATACATCGCCGCTTCGATGGCAGCAACTCAAGGGATCTGGCTTGCACGACTAATGGAAGAAATCATCGGGAGAGAAAGCGATCCACCAATGCTATACATAGACAACAAAGCTACGATCTCCCTGATCACCCGCTCAACGATAACTTGACGCCCTCTTCGTGGCGGCGGTGATGGAGATGTCGGCACACGACGACGGCGTGGAGGAGTGAGTGAGCCTGCCCGAGATGGGCCCAAAAATCCAGTTTTGCACGACCGGAGCAAGCACATAGAAATCAGATTCCACTACATTCGAGAATGTGCAGATCGAGGGCTCATCAAAATTGATTTCATCCGAACAGAGGAACAACTTGGAGACATTTTCACCAAATCCCTGGCGCGGGTGAAATTTGAAGAACTACGCTCAAAGATCGGAGTTCAAATAATAAGGTACAGCTTTTAGGAGGAGATTGTTAAATAAAAGCTCTGCCTTATTTAGTTAGGTTTGTAAAAACATATGAGTTCACGCGAATGGAGGAGCGTGATTCTAGGGGCCATTGTTTTGGCAGAGTGGCGGAGTCTTCGTCCACTTATTCTATTTGTGTATATTTGGTTTTTCTATTTTTGTAATTAGATTTATTATTTAAACCATTCAACGGATGTAAAATAAATATATTGAGTCTTCAGCATTACCAGCGAATCTCTCTCTCTCTCTCCTTTTACTTCCGCTAATTTTTCCTTCGAAGAAACCTTCGGCCAATTTTTTTTTTTTTCGTCGACATCCGATTTGCCAGAGTCAACATAATATACAATAGGCAAAATAATAATTAGTAAAAATTGTAATATAAAACATTCTAATAAATTGATGGATAATATTTAAAATTCAAATATTTACTCCCAAAATTATTTTATTCAAAGAAAAAGATTACCAAATGCAATAAACCGGAGAAAAGTAAAGAAGAGAAGAGACAAGCTACGGTCACGTGCCGAAAAGAGGGGACCGAACAAAACCAGAAAAAAAAAAAAAAAAAAAAAAAAAACGTGAAAGAGAAAAAGAGGGAAAAAGGATGAAACATTTCTTACAGTTGCAGATTGCCGAAAATTCCCACGGGTTCTTCGCTTTACAAGATGCCATAGCTCAAGCTTTAGGGTTCGGTTTCAGGTTTTCTTCTAGCGTGAATTTTATTCGGTATGTGCCTCTGTTAAATTTCTTCTATTATGTTTAAAGATTTCGAGTACTTTCGGAGTTCGTTTCGATTTAGTCGCGTTGGAGTTCTTGACTTGAACTAGGATCGTGTTTAGATTGAGTTGAATTCTGTTTGATTTTCTTGTTGTTTCTTTGGATTTTAAGATTTTAATAAACTTCATCTGTGTGGATACCATCGGGCCAATTTGGAGATGTAGGAATCGTTACAGACATAGCTATATTTTTAAGATAGGTGAGTCATCGGGCCAATCCTTGTATTATGCTCATGGTATACAACAAGAAGTTATGTTGTTTTCAATTTGGAGCTTGAGCTCAGACCTTAAATGGATATCTCCAAACATTTCAAACTTTTATCACGAGCACACCATTGGGGTTATTGGAATGTTTGTGATGATGCATTTGTGAGATCCCAAATCGGCTGGAGAGGGGAACGAAACGTTTCTTGTAAGGGTGTGGAACTTCTCCCTAATAGACGCGTTTTAAAACCATGAGGCTGACGGCAATACGTAACGGGCCAAAGCGGATAATAGCTGCTAGCAATGGGTTTGAGCTATTACAAATGATATTAGAGCTAGACATCGGCAGTGTACCAGCAAGGACTCTGGGTTCCCAAGTGGGTGGAGTGTGAGATCCCACATCGATTGGAGAGGGAAACGAAGCATTCCTTACAAGGGTGTGGAAACTTCTCCCTAACAAACATGTTTTGAAACTATTAGGCTGACGGCGATACGTAGTAGGTCAAAGCGAACCATATCTGCTAACGGTAGGCTTAGCATTAGGCTGAATCTCGTGAGTTAATTATTGCTGTTATATATTGCAGGTAAGGAATAAGTGTATGTCTTTTGCTAATGTCAATGAACTTATAGTTTGAAAGATGGAGAATGAGGATGGGCTTGAGCTTAGCTTGGGTCTGACCCTTGGTGGAGCTTGTGTCAAGTCTAGAAGTAAACTTACGAGCTCCTCCGGAGCAAACGCCGAGGAAAGCGATAGAGGCAATAAATTGGTCGATGATTTTAAGAATTTTCGACATGGAGATAATCCGAGGCAGGAATCAGACACGGGATCTTTTGAAAGTAATTCAATTCCATCTAAAGATAATTTCTTCAATGACCTGTTGAAGGTCGGAATGGATGGAGATTCTTTGATCGATTTGAAGAGGAAAGGAACCTGGATCGAAAGTAGTTATGCAGAAGCCGAGGATGAAAATCTGCCAGATATCAGCAATAAACGGAAGTTGTTGTTCGTGGAAATGAACGGTCAAAAGAAGCGCGAAAGAGAATCTCACGAAAAAGGAATGGCATCACACATTTCCTCTACTGAAGATGGTTCGACTGCCGAAAAAGGCGATGTCGTAGAGTCTAGACCCGAAGGTTCGACATCAAGGTTAGCATCAAAACATGATGATAGCTACCAACAATGTATATCTGTGGAATTTCTGTGGAATTTGCCTAAAGTTTCAAAGGATATCTGTGGAATTTCTGATTCAAGTAGGCAGAAAAGGTTTAACAGTTCATCAGTTGGAGTTCCAAACTCTATCCAAGTCATGAATATGCATAATGTTAACACTCATGGTGTGCCTAGCTCAATGGGTCACTTGCAACTCGGAATGCAGCATGTGCCACCTACTATAAACGGTGACCGATCGGGACCCGAGCATGTAAACCTTAGAAACTTGCCTCTTACAGCTGGTGTTTCACCGCTTCCGATTTCGGCAATGGACAAAGATAAGCCATGGGGTTTGGTTTCTCATCCTCAAATGATCCATCGCCCCTATGGCGGGGGCACCCCGTCTACTAGCTCAGGTAGACATGATTTCGTACCAAAAAAACTCGGTTTTGTTTGCATCTTTCAAGTTTTTAAGAAGAGAGCCTGATAGATAGTTACTTATGCTGCCTGTCTGCATATTTACGTGTAGTTGCCGAGCAAGTAATCGGACATTTTTCATTCGAGGGATTGCTCCACGGTGAGAGCGCAACGGAACGTACCAAAGACGATAGCAAACAGTCCGCCATGGAAGAGGGTTTGTCCTCTTCTCGAGCAGAACACATGAAAGTAAGCATTCCGAACGTTAATACGAAAGACATATTAGAGCGACCGAAAGCGGCTGGTGTGTCCCTTGATATCCCAGCTATAAAGCCAGGCATTGGTACAGATATAGAATTTGGGGGATGTGGTTCATACCCAAACCTCCCTTGGGTTTCCACCACTGGTGCTGGCCCTACTGGTAAGACTATCTCTGGTGTAACATATAGGTTTAATGCAAACCAGATCAAGATTGTTTGTGCTTGCCATGGTACTCACATGTCTCCTGAAGAGTTCATTCGACATGCGAACGGCGAGAATTTTAGTGCACAGAATGACAATGGTCCCGCAACGATTCCTAACAAAAACCCCACTGCCTCGGCACGAAGTTGATGTGTGATATTTGTTAGACGAACACGACTCTCCACAATGGTATGATATTGTCCACTTTGAGCATAAGCTCTCATGGCTTTGCTTTGGGCTTCCCAAAAGGCCTCATGCCAATGGAGAGTGTATTCTTAGATTATAAACCCATGACCATTCCCTAAATTAACCGATGTGGGACTTTCATCATCCAACAATATTTTCTCGGAATGAAAACGTCGAAGTTGCGGTGAAGAGGCTGGTAGACATGATTTTGCAGGCACCTGTCTTGTTATATATTTCCTTGTATCATAAGGTAAGTTGATAATGTTCGAGTATTTTCATGATGTATGTATCATAATTCTTATTGATAAATTGTCGTATCAAGTTAATTTTCATGATTCTTACCGCCTTTTTACCATCGGTTTCGATAGTGAATTCGAGAAAAATTAGATCAAAATCTGTTTTTTTTTCTTTTTATAATCAAAATCTGATTATGAAAGAGCTTGCATTTAAAAAATAATAAAAAATATATAATTATTAACAAAATAAAAATATGAAAAATGTTTGGATGGAAATGAATGTTCAGTTTCCTTTTTATTATAAATTATAAATTTAGTTTATATAATTTTTAATGTTAAAATTAATTTGATTTTAGTAAATAGTGAAGTCTATTTCGAAACTATGAAATAAAATTCTAAATTTTTCGTACTCGATTTTATTTATTTATTTTTATTGTAGGAACGAATTTGAAATCCGTGATATATATATATATAGCTAAATCGCATCGCATATTGGTTTTAGTAAATAGTAAAGTCTATTTCGGATATTGGCTCACTGAGTTTCAGCAGCGCGGGTAGAGCGACGGAGATAACAACTTCGAGAAAGAGAGCGAGAGAGTGAAGAATGGTGAGGATAACTCCAATGGCGTCCTTCTTTATCGGCATATAGGTTCGCCGGATTTCATCGCACCGGCCTCTCTCTCTCCTTCTTCAATACTACGTCCAAAATATTTTGATTGCACCTTGCAGTGGTATGAAATTCTCTGTTTCTCTCTCTCTCTCTCTCTGTTTACGGTTCTCATCTCCGTTTGTTTACGAACCATACTTCGTTGATTAACACTGTTCTTTTTGTTAATTTTCCATCTCGATTGAGATCTCCGATATACTTTTTTTGTTCCTTCTTTGGTGGATATGCTTGCTTGGAGTGTATTTTTGTTCTGCTTTTGTCGATGCCGATTCAGTTGACATCGTAGATTGTTTCATTAGTTCTTTTTCTTTGGTAGAATGTGTATCGCGTGGCTCGATGGTTTAAGAAATAAATGATTCTTGTTGTGAAATGAATTTGGATGACGGTTTGTGATTGTAACGATTTTCATCTCATTTTTGTTGTTTCATCAGTGAATTTGCTAATTCGCTTCGGAAATCGTGGCGAAAATGTTCAATGTGATCAATATTTTAAAATTTTAATTTCTGTTTTTCCAAATACCTTAATCTTCTCTCCGTTAATCTTTGTTTTTCGGTTCATGAATATTCTTTATATCTGTCGAGAGGCGCTACATCATAAGAATCATGCTAATCACATATATTATACCAAAAATTCCTAACAATTTTACTCACGTCTTCTTTTCATGTGTGAAATTCCGGAGTTGTGTTGGAGTGAGCTGATGTGACGACTAAATGCCTCGAAAATTCCAGACGAATAATCTATTCCATATTATTTATACTATTCAAGTGGCGCCTTGATATTTGAATATGAATATATCTTTACTTATCCAGCATTTATCTTCTTACGGATGTTATCTCCGTTACAACCAGTGCTTTGCAATGAGCAATGATAATGGCGTATAATGTATCTGTATGTCATACTTCAGCAACTTTTCTTCCCTTTTTGTTCTCTTTGTGAATTATTGTGCCTTATTTCCTCAAGGTGCTTTTGCCTTGAACTTCTGGAGGAAGTTCAGTCCTCAACACCAAATATGGATTAGTACGCTCTAGTGAACGGAAAAAAATAATTTATTAATGATAAGTGATATTAAGTAACTCATGATCTTAAGTTGCTTTACAGCTGCTCCACAGTCGCAATACTTTGGTCTGAAAGCTTCTGAGCTGGTGAGGGGAGAAGGCTGCAACATCGGGATGACTGGAGCTGGTAATGCAGTCCAAGCAAGCACTAGTGCGGGACAAGAGGAGATTGCTTCATGTTGTCTATGATGATGGAGATTTAGACAAGACCATAAAGTATGTTTGTTTGGAATATTGTGGATATACTTTTTCAATTTCTAGTTTGACTAAGATGAGATCAGGAATGTTAAAAAACCAAGAAATTTGATTTCTGATTGCTCAGATTCTATACAGTGCTTTGCAATGAAGCTCCTGCGAAATCATGACATACAGTAATTGAACTCACTTTACAGTAAGAAACGAACTATGCGACTGCTATTCAGCTATTATGTAATTTCAGTTTTTTTAGATTTCGTGTGGACTATTCTGGAAAAACAGCATTCAACAGGAAATTTTCCTTCAAAGATTTGGTATGTCTAATCATTTTTGCTTTGGTTGGTTATTGTTCCAGATCATGGAGGCGACTGGTATGATATTGTCACTTGGTTTGGTCATCATGGCATTGCGGTTGAAGATGTAAGAGGTATCCCGACTTATATGATTCTGCTTGTGCAATATTTTATTATAAAAGGTTATATAATTTTTTAAATGAGCAAGCTAAAACACAGAACTTATTATTTTCTAAGGTTCTGATCGTTGTTTCAGAGTCATTTAACGTAAAAGATATTATTTTATAAGGTTCAGAGTCATTTACTTAAAATATATTTTCCAGATTTTAATGGAAATTTGAGTTCTCTGATAGTATAACAAGTGTCATACCTTTTTATCATGTATTTAACAATGAATTTTGAGGTCCTTTTTTCCCATTGTGCTGATTAAATTCTTCACTTGCAAACAATAAACTATAAATAATTTCAAGGCTTAAATGCTCTTAGCAACATATTGGATTGGATTATAATCTTGGATTTTTTTTTTCATTAAGAATAACTTGAATTGATTTTTATGTTAGTTTTGACAAAACTTTTTTTTTTTTTTTGTTTCGCCGGTTTTGTCTCGGGAAATGCAACTCTCCACTTTGTCTCAAGCTTGCATGTGTCCCATGTATACGCACTCCGGATGTTCCCTATCGCTTAGCTTTTCCTTCACCCTATTTCCTTTCATTTTCCTTTTCATATCTGTTTTTACTCTTTTGGCCACATATGTAAGTGTGTTCACTGCACCACTCTTTCTCTTAATAGGTTTACAAGACCGTAGAACTCCTAAAAGCCAAGGGTGGGAAAGTGACCTGGCCATGTGAAAGATGGTTGTACCGTTATTGCTTTTGTTGAAGATCCCGATGGTAGTTAGAACTTCTAGAAACGCTTCGTGCTGGTGGACTTGATCGCTCAATAGAGTTCTATAAGAAGGTAAGGCTGTGAAGTTTCTTCCAGTTGTAGTTGACAGTCATTGTTCGCTTCATTTTTTCTTCTCTTCTTTAGCTTTCCTGAATATCAATGATATGCCTTGACTGGTTAAGTATGTTCCATTCCGTATCATATTTAGTTCATTGTTGGTTTCATGTGCATCCATTAACTTAATTATGTGATGTTTATGATTGCTTCGATTATACTAAAGCTATGCTGGGTTATGGCTTCACTGATTACAAAAAAGGGGAATGCTTATGCTTCGGTACATTAATTTTCCAATTTTCTTCATATCACCTTGGTTCGGAAACATGAATAGTAATATTTTAGAATTGTTCTTGAATTCTTAATTTCTTACTCTCGTGATTTCATGAAATCAATGATCGAGATGTTACTGACTTATAAGTCATAACAAACAAGGAATTATATCTGTCTTTCTCTATGTAAAGATTGCTATTGCAGAAACAGTGAAACTTAGTGGGGGAGAAGTCACCCGAAAACCTGGACCGTTGCCAGCTTGCTTGGATCCCGATGGCTGGAAGACGGTAAGCTTCTAAAAAAATTTCACTTTCTGTGCCTTGCCTTTTAGTTGATTTCTGTTTTATACAGTAGAATTTAGTAGAAGAAACAATTTTTTTTTCATTATAAGTGAAAAGTTATGACGCAAAATAAATCCAACTGTTCGGATAAACCAAATAACTAACTATTCACAACTCCACTCCAAAACGGACCCTTCTCTTGAAGCCAACTCGACGCTTCCAGATCTTATTGGAGAATCACCAACCTTAATAAAACATTCTTTTTCACCTTCCACAAAGCTTCACAGACCCTTTTAGACAAGGTTGAACACATCCGCCTTATTCTTTTTCACCTTCCAGTCTCAATTCTTCCAGTAATTTCAGCATATTTTAAAATTTAGCCATCACCTTTGAATCATTATGATTGGAAAGGCGGAAGATTTTTGGAATAGTTGCATAATGGTTGATTTTGGAAAAGCGCCCAATTTAACGGAAAAACCCGTTTTATAAGGGACCTCGAAGTTTTAGGATATTCCACTAAGGTTGTAGAACTAGTTTCTTCTTTTCTTATGTGAACCACCATCTTTCTCTTCCATGCACCTAGATTTTTTTTTTTATTTTTTAGTTTTAAAAAGTGACTTTGATTTTTTTAAAATTGTTAAAAGGTAGATAATAAAATAAGAAAATTCATGATATTTAGTCTCTTAATTTTCAAAAAAACTAAGTAATGTTATTTAGTTGAAACGCAGCACCCAAAAGTTTTAATGTCTAATTGAATAGGAACCCATCTAAGATGTACTTTCATAAAATTCTATTAAGTACTTTTTAAAATTTAGGATTTCTTAAATAAAAAGTAGTAAGCTTAGCCCATTTAACACGACCTTAACATTTTTAAACTAACTCCATACATGGCCTTGAGTCAATCTGATCCTGTTGGAAATCACGCTAAGCTCTTCCAGATAGTGGTTGGTATGTTCAGGTTCAAACACAGTCCTCCGAAAGATTTGAGAGAAGTTTAGGTTTGAAAACCAATGCTATGTTTTCTTATTTCTTAGGCTTAATATGTTTTCTCATCATTTCTTTGCTAGGGTTTTCATTTTAATCATTTTTCGGTTTGTGGTTTTAGCCAAATTTCAAAAACTTTTTTAAAATACTTTTTAAAATTTAGCCACGATTTATAGTACATTTGTATAATAGAAAACAAAATAAACTGTTTACAAAATTAATTTGTAAAATAAAAAAACAAAAAATTAAGTGTTATCAAATAAAACTGTACTCAATACTTTTTTTTATCTTCAACCATGAAAATCAGTCGAACCAATTTGGTTCTACAGGTTTTATCTTTTTTATCTTTATTCTGATTATGTGATCAACATTTATTAACTGTTACCTTGAGTGAAACCAAACTGATTATTTTGTTTGGGGTCCTTGATTACCTCTTTTTGGATTCGACATTTATCAAGATTCTCTATTTTTTTTTTTTTGAATAAACGACCTTTTTTCCTCCAAAGAAAAGAGAATATACACACCATTCATTTTCTTAAAAATTTTGAAGAATCAAGATTCTCTATTTTTATTTTAATAAACGACCTTTTTTCCTCTTAAGTTTACCATCAACCTAAAATTCAGTAGAATCGAAACTTGAAAGGAAATAAATTTTAGAGTGGCTTGGGGGAAAAGAAGTTTAATTTTAAATGTATAGAGAATTTATAGATGAAAAATCTTGAAAGAGAACTGGTAGAGAAATTTCTGAGTGAAAAGTTGAGAATCTTCAGTACAACAACAATTTGGGTTTCAATTTCTTTTAAAATTAAAAAAATCAGACCTCAAAATTTTTATTTGTTAAAAAATAAAGATGGTTAAAAGTTTAAATATATTCATCTGTGTTAAAAATTATTTTAAAAAACGTTGGTAAGTTTAAAAATAAAAACTCATCATTGAAGTATTTAATATATTTTAAAAATATATCAATCTTATTATAATAAAATTCAATTTTATATTTAATAAACCAGTAATTATTTTCTTTTAAATGAATATACGTCAGACAAAATTAAATATTAGAAACATTTTAAAGTTAAATGCATTCATATCAAATTTACCTCTTTTCTTGGTTCTGCTGGTGTTTGTAGATAACGTTGGAACCAAGGAGCTGGAACGAAACTCACTGTTCCATACGCTTAGCTACGAAGCCATTTGTACATCAAAACTGCACCAACAATAAAATCTTTAAGGCAATTGGGAGATCTTCTCACCTGTAGAACGTGGAAGTCCATTTCAACATTTTTTGTCCCATTTTCTCTTATTTAATTATATTCCCATCTTTTGTGGCAAACATATTTTCCCAACTTCTACAAGTCCGGCCACGTAAAAAGACCTTCCTGCCCCTGAGCAATAATGTATTCCATCTGCTCAAAAGTACTCGAGGGCAAAAAAAATCTGTTTTTTTCCAACAAATAGGTTAATATAGTGATGATGATGATGCCCAAAGCATGTTTACCGCCATTGCTATACACTCTAAGCCATCACTAAAATTCACTTCAATAGAAATATCTTTGTAACTAAGATTTCCTGCTCCTGAATGCAACATCAGAAGGATTCTTTTATCTTTACAATGCCTAAGTCATCACTTTCAGCTTATAACAACTGCAGTAAGGTAGATTTTAAAATTCTGCAGTAGTGAGTAGCCCCTATTCAAATCCAATTGGTAAAAAAAATAAAGGAAGCATGTAAGTTACCAGGTTCAAGATTTTTGATAGTAAAATTTTGCCCAATAGCATAGATGATCACTTTCTCGACACATGAAGTCGCCAAGATAGATGGTTCAGATCGTTGCAGCTTTACTTGTTCGTAAAACAACGATCACGAGAGCTGTAAGCCTAAAATTTCACAAACGGTTAACCTGTCATTCAATAGCTGCCATAGTCTTATTATTGCACCAATCTGAAGGGAAAATATCCTGAAAATTACACTGATAATAGAATTCATCTTTAAAAGTTGATACATGTTTAGAAGACGAAAATAGCGACTTCATTTCAAAAGAGGCATTTAAAACAAGATTTAAATACAGGAAGAGTGTACTGAATGTAAGCATAGCAGTCATGTTAGAATATTTATAAACTGAATAAAGGAAACTAATACCAGTAGGAATAACCATGACACAAATGAAAGAATAGTGAAATGGAAAAGGCAATGAGTTATCTTAGCATTAAAAGTTAAAAGAGCTGAAGATAGAACCTGTTAAAATGGGAAAAAAAAAAGAAACAAAAAGTTCAGCTCTTCAATGTAAATAAAAGGCATGAAATATAAAGTTTGAAAATGGAAAACAATGAAGGAAGAAATCTAAATAAACCAAGTTAAAAGTCCATATTTGTATCTGTTCAGATAGCTCCAAATGTCCAACTAACATCTTCATCCCTGCAAGACAGCAGAAGCAAACATTTTTTCCAGAGTAGTCCAAAGTTCATGAAAGCCTATCAGTAAGTAATTGTCAAATCTAACACGTGGATTCGATTATTAGTTATTAGTAGAGTGAAAAGTATTACACTTAAGAACACTACTCACAATAGAACAACTCCTAACTAAGCCTACTCAATTAAATTCCATTATAAAAGCAACAATAGAATGCATCAGGTGTTTAAAGGTCAACTTAGTTTCAAACTCTAGTCTAAACTATGCTGAAGTGATTAATATTGCACTCACAATAATAAAAGAGGTATTATTGGGCAATAGGAATATTGCCTTACAAAAGGAATTTTAAAGTATGGTAACAGAAATAGGTTAAAAGCACGAAATTCTTTCACACCAGTAATGATACATGGAACCATAGGTACAAGATTGCTGTGATTCACTTCTATTTACACAGCAGAAGCCATGCTTCAGAAAGATGGCATTCTGTAACCACCAAAGCATTTTAGTCACCTTTGCAAAAATGAAATAAAAGAACATGAGCTTGCAATAGTTCAGGGACTAACACAGTCAGTAAACGAGCAAGCATGTTGCGGCTTCTGCCATTCAATCACCATAATCTCTTCGATTACATTGCAAAAAGATAACATAAAATCGTCACAATTTGCAGCTTCTAGACGTAGTTTAGAATAGTCCTGGCCAGATCTGTTGCTAAATCATGATGTAGTTAAATGGTCAGAGAAAATCCAAACACAATAGAACAACAAAACAAAGGTAAAATCCAAACAGCACCAAGTAAATGTAACGAGGACTTACCATTTTGATTACTTTGCAGATGAAATTCTCTGTAATGATGAAATCCAGCTACCTGAAGGACCAACCTTGTGACCATTTCCATGTATGAGATTTGGAGATTCAGTGGATTGCAAAGGTTTAGAAGAGTTTCCTCTTGAGCTACCAGCAGGTGTAAATGATGCAGTGGCCATGCGAGAATCATTTAGAGCCTATATTATTAATATAGATAACCAGTAAGCCATTGTAACACTAACAACATACAAGGGCAAATGCAAAACATATGGTAAAGTACAATAAATATAATTATTTCGAAAATAAGATTAATGAGGCCATTAAGATCACTTACATTCATGTCAAGAGCATTATCAGAACTCAAATTCTTTGGAGTTGCTTGTTTAAAATGCAGTCGCACGGCAGGGCTTGAAACATGGTCAGATCTAACACGATCTGTAACCTCAGCTGAATAATTATTAAACGCACCTGGAAAATAAATATTAAGGAAGTCACTTACTTTACAAAATGCAATGGTACATTTGACATTGAATTTGCATCAATCAGAAAGCTAACCTTGGCGATTCTCCCCTTCCGTAGGCATTGCATGATGATTATGTGTACCAACAAGAACCGGCTGAAGTAAGAGGCAATATACCAACTTAGAATCACAAGTCTGTTCATTCCAATTTCAACCAATAAAATCATTACATAAGGACATAAATGCTAACCAGGGCAAGATACTTACAGACACTCGTGGCTGGGCTCTGTTCTTCTGCGACTGCTGGTACTTCATGATTGTCCAATCAAAAACATAATTGAATTCATATTCTGCACAAAAACAAATATTTAGGCATCATGACTGTTCATAGGTCTCTTTCAAATAGGATTACTGTCAAACTTATATAAACAGAAGCATCACTACCTTCACGAGCAAATAAGTCACGGAACAATCGCTTTAAGAACCCATAATCAGGTCGCTGATCAAATGTCAGAGAGTGGCAGTAATGGAAGTATGAAGCAAACTCCACTGGATGAGACTTGCATAGGACCTTCGAGAATGAAAATAAAAATAGATGCATGAGATCAAGGATATATGCACATAGCCAATACCCTAGAGTTTGGTTAAACATACCTCAATAGGAGTAGATAACTTCTTCTCGCATATTTTATCATATTTTTGCTTTTTTGTGGCAGCTTTCAATCCTTGCCACGGAAGGCTATAAATGGAAATTTAGTCATAAATAGAAAATGAAAGGAAAAAAAAAAGGAATATCACAACTTTCTTCAGAATGACAGTGACACACTACCGTGTGTAACTAATTAGTTAATAGTAAAAACAGTAAGAGCATTGGCATACCTTCCTCTCAAAAAGTATAGAAGCACATATCCAAGAGACTCCAAATCATCCCGCCGACTTTGCTCTAGGAAGAAGACAACAGTGAGGGTACATGAGGTCCAAGTTACAATTCAACGCAAAATGTGCAAGTAGTAAACTCAGGTGTCCGACTTACCAATTCCAAGATGAGTATTGCAACTAGCATAGCGAGCTGTCCCTGTTAGGTTTTTGTTCTCCCTGTTAGAAAGAATTATAAACAAACGAAGGTAAAATGATATCGCAACTTTCATATGAATACTTGAAGCATGAGTGAAAAACTTGAAAGAAGTTCCAAAAGCAATTGAAGAGGTACCTGTAGGGAATATGTCGGTTGGTAGTTGCATCTCGATATCTTTTTGCTAGTCCAAAATCTATTATGTAAACCTAAATAAACAGTGAAAGTAAGAATGCATACACATCCAAGAACAAGAAGCTAGCAAGAACACCTTGAAGTGATCGCTTAAAAAATAAGAACAAGCATTTAAAAGAAAGAACAAACACCTGATTTGCTTTGCGGCCAAGTCCCATGAGGAAGTTATCAGGCTTTATGTCTCTATGCAGAAATCCTTTGGAATGAACGTACTCTATTCGTGTGAGCTTGAACAGAAAAAAGAAGAGGAATGAAACAATAAACTACTATTCACGGAAGAGAAGAGAACGCGAAGTATTTAATAATAGCGGAGACAAACACGCACATCCAACTCGAGAAATCATAGCAGGAAATGATGCTACTCACCATTTGATCGGCCAACATCAAAACTGTCTTCAGCGAGAACTTCCTCCCACAATATACAAAGAGATCTTCGAGACTCGGTCCAAGCAAATCAAGGACAAGCACATTCTCCTCCCCGTCTATACCAGACCATTTAGTAGCAGGAATACCGCCTGAATTAAGACGAAAACAATCAGCCGACAGCAACTTAAACAACGATATTTCATCCACATAGAGAATGTCACTCAGAGCTAGTAATCCTTCAACATAAGCATTGAACCACACACAATTCGAAATCATATCGAGATCGCTTACGTACTTCCTCCTTGAAGAATATTATACAATTTCGCCTCATAAAGCAATTGCGGATGCTTCGTTTTGTTGTTTTCCTGCAAAAGAAAGCCAGACTATCAGTAAACACCGTCCAAAGAAGCCGTAGCTCCAATCTCCATTCCACCGACCAAATTTCCACGCACAGAAACTCCAACTAATACTTCGGGGAAAGGACTCCACAAAATCCAGAAACAAATGAAAGTAAAAAATCAATAACCACAAACTCAATCAATCGAAACGATCAGAACTCACAATTTTCACCGCGACAATTTCGAACGTCTCGATATGAGTAGCTGAAACAAAAAACACAACAAAACTCAGTCGCAAATCAAGAGAAAGAAAAAATAACTTCATAAAAAACTGTAAGCTGAAAATACAAGCACATCGACTCCACAACAACTTACCGAGGTAGATTTCACCAAACGATCCGCTGCCGATCTTGCGGCCAAGCTTGTACTTGCCGCCGATTACGCGCTCCATAACGAAAGATCAAATGGATCGGATTTGCGGAGATCGGTCAGAGCATAAACAAACCCGAGGGTTTCGAAAATTTCAAAGGAGATCAAATCCGCAAACAAAAATTCAAAAAAAGATTATATATAGAGATTACAAAAAGAGAATAATTGAGATATATGTGTGTGTGTATATATATATATATATGGATTGAACGAGAGAGATCAGGAAATGGAAGCCACAAAAATGAACAGCCGGCGAGGAAGGACGGGTAGACCAGAAGGGCGTTTTCGTAGTTACGCTCTTCTTCTAATTCTACCTTGGACTCCAAGGGATAAACTCTAAAGTATAGGGATAGTTTCGTCATTTCCTCCATCATGGATTTGTTGACCTATTGACTATTTGATTTTCGCTATTTTATTTGTTTTATTTCTTTTTATATAATAGGAGGATTTTGTAGAATTAAATGAAAAAATACTATTTTTTTTAATATTGCAATATTATCATTAAAATATTAGACATAAGAGCCCTAATAGCCACATAATTACGAAGTTCCATAACTTTTTTTAATAAATTTATATTTTAAGACAATCTTGAAATATCTGTGAAGAGTTAGTTAAATGGTAATATCCTAAATTTTGAAAAAATACAAATATTTTTAAAAATAAATGAAAAGGACAAAAGGTTAACGTATTTTTTTAAGAGAGAAAAACAATTGAAACTTGGGCCTTGACCAAGCTGTGATGGACCCATATTTATTTATTTTTCTTTTTCTAAACCATAAATTTTTTAGTATTTTTTTAATATATTATATTCTGGCGAATTGGGCTGAGTTGGATGGCCCAGCAATCGAATTGGGCCCATCAAGTGGACACTCTAAAGCCTTCGTTAACAACCCATTAACAATTCACATACACATGTAGTTTGTTTTCCTTTTTTTTTTTTTTTTTTTTTTAAATCCAAATGAGTTTTTTTCCCTAAAAAAAATTTGTTGTTTATTGAATGCGTCCTCACTAGCGTTTTTCTCACAATCCACTCCTTCGGGATCCAGCATTTTCGTTGGCACACCACTCGGTGCTCACCTCTTGTGAAATCTCACAATCTATCCTTTTTCGGGATCCAGCATTCTTGTTGGCACACAGCTCGGTGTCCACTCCTTCTGAAATCTCACAATCCACCTCTCTTCGGGATCCAGCATTCTTGTTGGCACACCGCTCGATGTCCAACCCTTGTGAAATCTCACAATCCACCCCCCTTCGGGATCAGCATTCTTGTTGGCACACCGCTAGTGTCCACCCCTTTTGAGCTTCCACTTCCTCTTGGCACATTGTCCAATGTTTGACTCTGATACTATTTGTAATATACCAAACCTATCGCTAGTCGATATTGTCCCTTTTAGTCTTTCCCTTTTAGGCTTTCACAATTAAAGTTTTTAAAACGTGTCTCATAGGGAGGTTTTTCACACCCGTAAAGAATTATACGTTCCCCTCTCGAGACCATCTCGTGTTTTATCTAATCAGAATCAAGTATCAATTGAGGAAAGAATTTGCTCAATTATGGATCCATCATTCTCGTTGGTACACCACTCACTCATTTCCTCTCTCCAATCAATATGAAATCTCAAAATCCACCCCCTTCGGGATCCAGCGTTCTCGTTGGCACACCACTCGGTGTCCACCCTTCGTGAAATCTCACAATCCATCCCTCTTCGAGATCCAGCATTCTTGTTGGCACACCACTCAGTGTTCACCTCTTTCAAGCTTCCTCGTCCTCCTAGCAAACTGTCTGATGTCTGACTCTGATACCATTTGGAAGATATGGTCCCTTTTAGGGTTTCCCTTTTGTGCACCCAATCAAGGTTTTTAAATTTATAGAGAGAAATTTCCATTTTATTTCCGATCAAGACTCAGACCATCTGGCGTTTTATCTAAATTAGAGTCTAAGTCTCTCAATTGAGGCAAAAATTTGCTCTCCAACTTTCTTTTCTTTTATTATTTTTTTAAAATAAATATACAAGAACAGAAAAAATGATAATTAAATGGTTATCCACCACCAAAGTTCCTTAAAAATGGAGCCGAATTACAATCTCAATGAGAATTAATAATAACGACATGATTTAATTCAATTACTCGAATCAAATCAAATCAGTCGAATCACTTAATCTGAATCCATGTAGCAACGCTAGGAATTCCTCGATAAACCACAAACAACATGTAAAACCCCGGCGGTGCAATGATTCCGGACGGCGGCGCCGCCACAGTCACTTTGTAAACCCCGGCGCCAGTCTCCGCCACTTCCTTAATTGACAACACCACAAGCCTCTGGTTCATCGAGTAACCGTGCGTCGTGAACGGCGGCGGATAAATTGAAACCCTAATATCATTCTCCTCATCCAATACTCCGTCAACTTTCAAATTGAAGTTCACACTGAATTCCCCTCCGTACTGCCAACTCAGCTCCAAACTCTCCTCATCGATCGCCGGCCGGAAAGCGGCATTTGACGGATCCAAGTACGGCGGAGAGAATTTCTCGACTCTCAATTCTGTCGGGTATTTGGCGTCGTAAAGGTAGCCGGCATTGGTATTGCTGCCGGCGACGAGGATTTGGCCGTCGGGGAGAACGGCAGCCGAGGAGTGGTACATTCTTGGGATGTTGGTGGCGAGGAGTGGTTTGAATCGTTGACCTAAGGGCTTGTCGGGACTATAGAGAACGGGAGTGAAATTTGGGCCTTCAGCGAAATTCCACGCCGAGGTGCCGGAAGTGGCGCCGTTGAGAATCAAAAGATCGCCGGTTGGAAGAATTAACATGTCGCCCATGACTCTTGGAGTTGGCATCATTTCCTTCTTCCAAACATCGTTGGGATTTGTTATTACCAAACGATTACAGTCTTTCAATGCTCCCATGAAGTTCTTTTTCTCGGCCAACCGGTAAGCTTCCGGTTTCGCTCCGCCACATACGATAACCTAAATGAAAGATTGAGCATTACCGGTCATTCTTTTGCTTAAACTTCTGAATTTAGTGGTAGTTTTTAGCTTACCTCAGCTGGAATTGCCTCCGAATTCTCGGGTTGAAGTTTGAGAGGGAGGAGCGCCGACATTCCCGACGCGGGGTAGTTTCGAGAACCGCCGTCCAAAATCGGATACTCGTGCAGGACGGTCTGAGTCTTAGTGTTAAACAAGATGGAGCGACTATTGGCAAAGATAAAGACATTACCATCAGTTGAAAGAAAAACAAATGGATAGAGATTGTTTTCGTCCAAATCAGTTGTTTCATCAAGGAAAGGCAATTTGATATCTCTGGCATTGGATTTTCCTTCGGCGGGGACAAATTCAAGGCTGAAGGATCTCCGACCACCAACCAAGATGAAACCGCCGTCCTGCATGGTGGCCTGAGTTGCATACCTAGAATGTTTTGTGTCGGTTAAGCTATGTTTAGGTTGACTAATGAAAATTTTGAGTTTAATTAGCAAAAATAATTACCATCGTGGACGTGCCAATGCCGTTGCATATTCTGTCCAATCGCAAGTCTCACATGGAGTTATGTAACGAACAGCTTTGGTCCCGTCGTTCCAACCGCCGGTGTTTACCAATCGTCCTTCGATGTCGAGCCCTCCCGACGAGCACCATGGATCTGTAGGCATCTGCTAGAATTCTTAACAATTAATGTATTTGTCTACTCGATAATGGGATTTGAATCTCTACTCTTCATATTTACGTACTTAAATTTATCATAACCTAAAGACACTCTAGATCGAGTTAGCTATTAGGTTAAATAGTGTGAGCGCGCGGTCTTATTTTAGTTCTTTCAATATCAAATTGACTCCATGAGACCAATAAAAAGTTATATAACTTTTTAGACATTTAAGAATGAGTTAACTATTAGGCTAGTAGCGTGAGCAGTCGATCTTATTTAACTCGACTCCATGGCCAACAATGATTTAACTTAATCTAAATGTTATTAACGTTTTATACATTCCAGATCGAGTTAGCTATTAGGTTCGTACCGTGAGCGGTCTTATTTTAGCTGTTTCGATATCAAACTCGACACCATGAGCCCAACAATCTTGCAAAACGGCGCCTTGGTCGGTTTTGAAATCAAAACATTTACCATTGGGCAACTTGATTTGTGAAATATGAAATGCTGAAGCATCAAACATGATCATCTTGTTGTTTGGCAACAAATTCATATGCATAGCCGAGACCATGGAGTTTTGAGAAACCAACTTCCATGACCCTAGAAACTTGGTTTCAAAATGACGCTTGCCCGATCCATCCACCCGTTGCTTACCGACCTGAAACGAAAATCCCGGTAGATTACTTGGTTTCGTGGTGTTACCTGGAGCTCCTGGCCCGGCATCGTTCTTTCCCGTCGAAGAGTCGGTCAATATATCCTTCAAGCCCTGGTCGAGCGAGTTCGAGCCTGAGCCATAGGACCCACCGACGGTTAGGAATTGGGCCGGGGCGGAGACGAAGAAGTGAGAAAGAAAAAGGAGGAAGGCCGCCTTGAGAAAGGCTGCCATTGAAGGAGTAAGCTAACCTTGTTCTTCAATGGCACCTTTGTTTGTGTGTTCCTCAACTTTTGTCTCCCCTCTATTGCATTTTATGGCTCACAAAGTTAGTTAAAGGATCGTTAAAATAGCTTATGGTAGTTACTTGTTTGAAAGAAAAACTCAACCAAATTGCTAATTCAAGTTAGATAATTTAAAACGAAATTGAAAATGGGAATATTGGAAGCCCATGAATTATTTGAGATAAAGATTAGATTATTGATTTAATTACTAAATTTAAAAATTAAAAAAAAAAAACTTAAATAATTCCATATACTATATATGAATAACTACATGCATTAAAAACAAATTATACAATTTTCTCTAAAAAATACTTTTAAATAATTCCATCTATTTTTTATACAATTTTCTATTTTCTTTTTAAAAATACTTTTAAATTATATATATACACAAACATATTTTCTCTAAAAAATAAATTATGATTTTCCACGTCATTAATTTTTTTATCATCAAAATTAAACATTTTTGTTCAAGTCGGTATTTACCATCAAATTTTTCACTTACTCACAACAGTATTCAAAAAATTCGATGACTTGAACAATCGATCAACCCAACTCAACTCGGAACTTATTTGAGTTAGGTTCAAATAAAAAGAAAATTTGAATAAATGACATGAACAATTAAGTTCAGTTAATTATTTAACAACGGTTGTTTGAGTTGGAAAAATATACCACCGGTTGAGGTATAATATTTGGATAATATATTAATTATAGAATATATCTTAAATATTACATCTTAATATTCTTTTCTAAATCT